TGGAGTACGGGGAAAATAGTTTAGGTAGTGTTTTTTTTTTTATCTCATGCAAAAAACATGTATAATTCTGAGATGTTATTCAACTCTGTATAGGATTTAGGGATAGATAATATCCCTAACTTCAAAATATGCACAGGGATTCAGCAAGTCTATTTATTTGGAGGGAAGATGTTCTTTAAGAATGGACTCTGAATAATATGAAATGGAAAGTTAGTTGGCTTAATGGACAGGGAACTAGTATAAGAGTCTGAAACCTCAGTTTTTAGACTCTGTGTTCCTCCAAAGACCAGTGAAATATTTTGCAATCCCTTCACTTATTTATCTGTGAATTAAAGGGAAGAGTTGTGTTAAATAAATGTTTCTTAATAGCAATTAAACATCCAAATACCTGAGGAGGATTTAATTGTGGTTTTACATATAGGTACACAGACTGTATGTTTGAGGTAGGGAATATAATTCTATATTTTTAATAAACATCTATATTTTTAATAAACAGCTATCTTGTTTATTAAAAATATAGAATTATATTGATTTTGATAAGCTGATCTATATAATTATGCTTAAGGATCTCTGGACCAAATGATCTTTTAGGCTTTATCCAGTTATTGAGCTTCAATATTTTTCTATGAAAAGTAAGTATATAAAATAGCAAGGGCTCATAGCCCATTTGAATCAAATGTATGATATGTCAAGATCATGGTATTGTCTTAAGGAACTAATAAAAAATTAAAAATAAATAAAAAATAAAATAGCAAGGGCAATTGATACTAAAGATGTTCAATTAGGAATCCTGAGAGAGTAACTATATAGGCAAAGATAGAAAATAACTTACCACATATTGATTAATGATGTTGTCTCTAGAGTTCAATGCAATGAGTTTCATATTTGTCTCACACACACACACACACACACACACACACACACACACACATATGGTGGGTCATTGTGAAAATTTATCAAACATCCCTACCCTCAGTTTCATTGTAGTTAAGAAGAATAATCTCTGCATCCTACTTCATTGAAGGATTAAAGGAGACAACCTAGAAAAGTACTTAACAGAGTACCTGGCAAATAATAGTAGCTAATAAGCATTAGAGGGTGATGATGATACCAATGACAGAAATTCAAATGCAGGACTTCACTTCTTCTTTCAGAAGAAAAGATGAGGAAATAAATAGGCATATATTTTTCACAATCCCTTCATTCTGAAATGAGGTGTTTTTGAGATTTAAACATTTTTATTGTGCATTATAATTATACCTAAAAGAGGGATTCATTATGCCATATTCATATATGCGCATAACATAATTTGATCACTCATTCCTCAGTACCTTCTCTTTCTCTTCCCTCCTTCCTCTCCTGATACAATTGCTCTTCTCTATGGATCTCCCTTTTATCATCATCATCATCATCATCATCATCATCATCATCATCATTTTAATTAGTTTTTTTGACTTGGTTCTGAGGTGTCCCCCTAAAAGCTGTGTGTTAGGCAATGAAGGAATGCTCAGAGATGAAATGACTAGATTATGACAGCTGTAATCTCATATGATTAATAATTTGAACCACTGGTTGGTAACTGAAGGCAAGTGGGACATGGCTGGAAGAAGTGAGTGAAAGGGTCTTGCCCTTGGGGATTGAATTTCATCCCTGGACACATGTTCTCTTGCTCTCTCTGTGTTCTAGCTGCCATGAACTGAGCAGCTTTCCTTTGCCACACCTTATGCCATGATGTTCTGCCTCACCTTGGGCCCAGAGCAATGAAGTTGACCAGCCAAGTACTGAACTTCTATTACTATAAGCCTTAAATACACTTTTTCCTCCTCTAAGTTGTTCTTGTCAGGTATTTTGGCCACAAAAATGAAAAGAAAACTAACATAGAAATTGGTACTGAGGCAGGGCTTTTGCTGTGACTAATCTGACCATGTGGTTCAGAAGCCGTTGGAACTGACTTGTGGAAAGAGTCCGTAAAAGTTCTGAAATACAGGTGGGAGAAGACTTGGAATGTCATAAGCTGAGCTTAATGGGTAATGGTGGTGGGAGCTCAGAAAACCAGAATTCTTATAAAAATGTGGACAGTGAAGATTGTGCTCATGAGATTTATGAGGGGAATGAGGACTCAATGGGGAATTAGACTAGAGGCTGCACATGTTACGTTCTGGCAAAATCTTATCTACACTTTTTTCTCTGTCCTGAGACTTTTTATGAGGCTGAATTCAAAGGTGATGAACTAAATAAAATGGAGGGAATTTCAAGGTGGCACAGTATTCAAGTGGTGGCATAGGTATTGCTGACTGCTTTTATCCAGGTTTACTGGAAGAATTGGGAGCAGAAAGAAGAGGATAAAGAGTTTAAAATTTGCAGTTTGCCCAGAAAAGAAGTACCTAAAAACTTAGGGCCAAGCCACTAAAAATAAGTACTTACAGAGAGATAATAGCAAAGATGCAAGACTTACCCGTGGCAGACTCACGGGTATAAAAGGGAAAACAGCTTTAAGAGACCTGTGCAAGCAGGGTATACCTAGGAAGTTATTTCCCAGAATTTATTTCACTATGCTAAGCTTCCCAGGCACTCAGAGGTCACTGCAGCCATGGGTTAAGGGGGCCCAGCAGATGTTGCTATCATTCATGTAGTGCTGCAGTAATGCACTAGTTCTGCAGTAATGCAGGACGCTGAAGTTATGGAGTCATGGAGGCTTCCACTGAGATTTCAAAGGAAGGCTTGGGAGGTCAGGGAACATGTTACAGGCTTGAAACCCCTGGACAAAGTCACCGAGAGGGTGATGCATGAAGCTCTGAAGATGAAGCTGAAACTGCAATGGAGATCCCCAGAATTGAAAGAGTCCAAGAATATGGAACATCTGCCAAGGGAAGCTGAGGGCTGTGGACAGAGCTGTGGGTGAGAGAGGCCACATGGGCTGCAGCTGGCAAGTCCACAGGGGTGGATCAGCCTGAGTCCTTTGGAGATCATATCATGCTGCTGTGTGCTCCAGATGCCAGACATGGAGTTCTGGGGCTTCTTCATCCAGCTAGGTTCCATTCATTTTTGGTCCCATTCATCCATTCTATGCCCCTATTCCTCCCTTTGGAATGGGAATGTTTACTCTGTGTCATTATTTATTGGATGTATATAACCTGTTTTTGATCTTTACAGGAGCTCACAACTAAGAGTTGGCCTTGAGTCTCAGAGGAGACTTTGGGCTTGGAATTTTGAGCAATTCTGAAAATATTGACTATGGGAACTCTGGAAGATGAATTAAACTCACTTTGAATTGTCAGATGAACATGAGCTTTTGGGGGCCAGGGGCAGATTGCTATGGCTTGGATATGAGGTGTCCTCTGAAAAGCTCATACATTAATGCAGGAATGCTCAGAGGTAAAATGATCAGGTTATGAAAACCATAACCTCATCAGTGGAATAATCAACTTTATGGGTTAATAATTTGAATGAACAACTGGGCAGGGGCTATGGGAAGGTGGAGCATGACTAGAGGAAGCAGGTCACTGAGGATATGCTCTTGAGGATGGTATTTTGTTCCTAGTTCCTTGTCTTCTCCCCTTAGCCCCGCCCACTTCCTGGCTGACATGAGCTGACCTCTTTCCTCCACTCTACCCTTCCATCATCATTTTCTGCCTCAACTTGGGCCCAGGGCAATGGAGTTGGCTGGCTGTGGACTGAATCTCTGAAACATTGAACCCCAAATAAACCTTTACTCCTCTAAGTTGTTCTCATCATATAGTTTTGTTACTGCAATAAAAAGGTAATCTACTAGTGCATTATATTTATATGTATTTTATATTTATATATATGCACATATATATACATACATATGATTCATTATGGTAGAGTCATACATGGAGATAGCATAATTTGGTAGATTTCATTTCCCAGTACTTTTTCAAGTCCTACCCACCTCCCTTATGAGAATTTTTAAAAAGAAGAATATAGTGTGTGTCTTGGGACCATCTCCCCAAATAATTTAAGATGTAGTTCACTTCAGTCTATTCATGTTAACATCCTATTGCAGCACAGGAACTGTTACAGAGCTGTAGAACTCCTCTAAGGGGTGGTAATATCAGGGGTGAACATGTCTCAGGCCGTGTTGGTCTCTCCCTAAAAGTCTGAATTGAGGAAAACAGAGAGGAAAGCAAAAATGAGATTCCTGGAAATGAGAGAAAAGAAGTAGGGTCAGATTGAAGGTAAAGTGAGGACTGGGGTAACAAGGAATTTAAAGGAAGATTTGATGCTGGACTTGGGGACTTGCACTTGGTGACAGTAGAAATAAAATCAAGTCAGGTGCGAGAACATACAGGTGAGGCTTTTTTTGTTAGGGCTTCTGTTAAGAAAAAGGAGTTACCGCCCAGACCAGAGGGCTCCCCTCAGAAGGAGAATTAGTTTTGTTCATGTGAAAGAGGTGGGTTAAGGGTTAGGAATGTTTCCCGGCTTTCTGTCCATTTTAAAGGTGTGTTTTCTTTTTCTAGGCGGCTCTTTAACTCAAGGAAGGTGTGGTCAGTCCGGCATCATGGAGTCAAGAGTTAGCTGTTCGTATCAATGTGACATCCTGCGTCAACGTCTCTGCCTCCCCCATGACAGGGCAGAGTTGCTGTAGCTGAGAACATGCGGGTGGGAAATGGAAGAGAGCACAAACCCTGGCAAGTGTCAAGCTGTGGGCCCTAGGAATTTGCTGTGTCGAGGTCTTCTCAACAGTTTTTATCCTTGAGGTTGCTTGTCCTCAGAGTCACGGGAGAGCACCCTGGCCCTAACGATGCGTCTGGTTTCTGAAGGTGATAAGGTTGTTGGAGGGTGATGGGTAGGGCGCATGCTAAGCGTTTAGTACCTAACAGGTTATGCTGCTTTTTAATGACGATCAGGCCATGAGTGCCTTTGCCCTCTGTCCCTCTGGTGGTCTGTGTCTGCATTTGGGAGTTGGAAGATCCGAGAGTCAGGACAAGCAGGTTGATGGTAAATCTAGCATCCGTCTTCTCTAGCCTCCAGATACTACCGTCATGGAGAACCACTCCAGTGTATCTGAATTTTTCCTCCGGGGAATATCTGATTTGCCGGAGCAACAGCACTTACTCTATGGAATTTTCCTGTGTATGTATCTTGTCACCTTGACTGGGAATGTGCTCATCATCCTGGCCATTGCCTCTGACCCACACCTCCACACCCCCATGTACTTCTTTTTGGCCAACCTGTCCTTGGTGGACGTGGGTTTAACATCCTGCACAGTCACCAAGATGCTGGTGAATGTTCAGACCCGGCATCCTACCATCTCCTATACTGGTTGCCTCACACAAATGTACTTCTTTCTGATGTTTGGTGACCTGGACAGCTTCTTGCTGGCTGTAATGGCATATGACCGATACGTGGCCATTTGCCGCCCTCTCCACTACTCCACAGTAGTGAGCCCCCGGGCCTGCGTCCTGCTGCTCGCCTTGTGCTGGCTTCTCACTAACCTGGTTGCCCTCACTCACACCCTCCTCATGGCCTGGCTGTCCTTCTGTGTTGTGGGGGAAATTGCTCACTTTTTCTGTGACATAACTCCTGTCCTGAAGCTGTCGTGTTCCAGCACCCGTGTCAATGAGTTGACGCTTTTTGTCTTAGGAGGCACTGTGCTCGTGGTCCCCTTCCTGTGCATTGTCATCTCCTACATCCACATTGTGTCTGCCATCCTGAGGGTCCGGACTCCTGGTGGAGGGGGCAAGGCCTTCTCCACCTGCGGTTCCCATCTCTGTGTTGTCTGTGTCTTCTACGGGACCCTTTTCAGTGCCTACCTGTGCCCTCCCTCTGTGGCCTCTGAAGAGAAGAGCATTGCAGCGGCTGCAGTGTATACGGTAGTGACTCCCATGCTGAACCCTTTCATCTACAGCCTCAGGAACAAGGACATGAAGGGAGCCCTGAAGAGGCTTCTCGGTCACAGGAGCTTTTCTTTTTAGATATAGCAATAGCAATGTTTAATGAAAATATATAGACTTAGAATCACACAGGGATTCAACTGGGGAGTCTGCCACACACTGGCCATTAGGCCATCTTTCTGTTACTTACTTAATTCCTCTGAGCTTTAAGTTTCTCATCTCATCCAATGCCAGCATACTTCTTGGGTAGGATGGGGCCAATGGTGAGAACATGGAAACCTTCTTTCCTTATTTGATGGCAGTTTCTGTCTAATAAGGTAACATGGAAGATTAACTGAGATGAGCTATGAAATGCATGGGGTACAGTGGCAAATAGTAGGTTTTAACAATGAAAGTTGTTCTTGTTGTTATTATTATTATTATTGATGTTGTTCTCACTCTTCATCCTTCCCCCAACCCAGACATAAAAAATAAAAGAAAAACGAAATGAAACAAACAAAGCAAAAACCTGTTAAGTGCTCTGGATATATCACGGAACAAGACAAAGCCTCTGTTTTCAGGACTCTTTCATTCAAGATTACTCATTAATCGATCATTAAAATTTTAGGAACACATTTTGTTATAGGACTAAGTGGAGGTTAAGAGAAAGAAATAAAATATGGAGTTTACATTCCAGGTAACATGGAATAGGTTGAGAATTGCCTATCAAAGAAAGTCTATGTTTAGGTGGCTCTGTGGGTTGCCCGAATTCCCCTGATTCCCCAAGATTTCACCAGGAACGGTGTTAGAGCTCCCTGTGCTGCTCCTTCCCCCTCCTGGTCCAAAAGGTCCAATGTCAGCATCCTTCTTGGGTAGGATGGGACCAAGGGGTGAGAATACTGAAACCCTCTTTCCTTATTTGATGGCAGATTTGCCTTCAGCTGTAAAAAAAAAAAGAGGCTTAAATTGTTGTAAAGAAAGAAAAAATGATGTTCACAGGCATGGGAGGTTTCTTTTGTCTCCGCCAAGAACCTAAGAAATATTAAAAACACTAAAAAAAATGAGTCTTATATAGTTTTGATCCCTTACTTCTGGTGTGACCAAGTATCCACTATCCTTGTGGAAGTTTATTTCTCAGATCCAACCACTCTTAGAATGTTTCATGTCCCTATAGTTTTTTAAATATATTTATTTTTTAGTTGAAGTTGGACACAACACCTTTATTTCACTTATTTACTTTTTATGTGGTGCTGAGGATCCAACCCAGGGTCTCGCATGTGCAAGGCCAGCGCTGTACCGCTGAGCCACAACCCCAGCACCCCCTATACTTTGTCAATGAATAATTACTGAAATCCTTCACAGAATCAAACCACCCCAGGCTTCAGCAACAATTAAGTACAATAGTGAATCGCTTAGAGCAGCGTGCTCCATCTTAGCCCCTAAGATTCCACTCATTATAGGGGTCTGTGAGAGGGTTGAGGAGGCCATTCTCATATAACCAGAAGCCCTGGAGTCCTTCTGCCCTTATCTCCTTCCTTTCTGTTGACATCTTTCGGTCTGCTGACCACAGGCCACTGACAGTTTCTGAGCCACCAAGAAAGCCACCCAGCTTTCTTCTGTCTTTTGAAATAGCAATAAAATACTTCTCACTTCTCATGATCGTATTTTTTTCAGGAGTGGGTTTGCTGGCAGATTTCTAAGGCTCCTGATGACATGACTAGTGAAATTGAGGCAGATTGAGATGTGCGAGTATCAGATACACCGTCACACCCCTCCGGCAGCCCAGGTCCCCTCAGCTATCCTGCACCTGCTTCTCAGACTGCCCCAGTCAGCCGCGTCTTCTTTGCTCCTGGAGGTTTCTCTAGGTGGCCCTCTGGTTTCTTCAATCTGATCCCCAGGGATTCGCAGTCCATTCATAGTGCAGTACATGTCTGAACTTCATGTTGGGGTGGATTTAAGTTCTTTCCCTCAAGCCCCAGGGAAACTGAGAGATAGGAGATTGGGTGTCCAGTTTGGTTATACCAAAATAATTGTGTGGCACTGAGGAGTTAGTTCAGCTCAGAGCATATAAAGGCCCACCAACAGATACTATTGCCTATCACTGTTCCACAGTCCAGTGTTCTTAGATTCCACCCAACTGTATTCAAAGGTCCTCCCTTGAATACATCCCATTACATTCACTTCTGATCCCTAAACTCAAACTTCTATTTCTTTATGATCACCTGTTTCAAGCAATGGGAATGTGTTGTTAGCATTTAAATAATTCACTCTGAAGTTAGATGAGTTATAAATCTTTGCACTTTGGTAGTGTAACGTGAGCAGGATGTGACTTTAGCTGGGATGAGAGGTGGATGATGGAGAGCTTCCTGTTGCCTCTTGAATACATAGGGTATTTGGTTTCCTCTTGCTTAGAAGCTGTTTTGAAAAAAAAAAACACAACAGATGGTTTGAAATCTGTTCCTTCACTTCCTTAAGATTGCTAAATGTAATCAAAATCATTCAAGGTGCACCAGATGTGTTGGTGCATCCCTTTAGTCTCAGCTACTTGGAACACAGAGTCTGGAGGATTGCTTGAGTTCATGAGTTCAAGACCACAGTGGGACACAGTCTCCAAAAAATTATCCAAAGTGCCTAGCCTTTCACTTTATTCTTAACTAGCATTCATAGAGCCAGAAACCAAAACCAATTTTTAGTTCTACCACCTGCTTCCCATCACATACCAAGACCTGTTTAGCATATCTTCAAGATAATCTCTATCCTCAAGCCATGATCGTCATTCAGGCATACATCACCTATCACCTGGATGTTTAATAACTTTCCAATTGAGCTCCCTGTCTCTAGGCTCCCCAAGCCATTGCCAAACCATCTTACACATCGATTACTTCAGGAATCTTTTCCCAGTACAAATACAACATTCCACAGTTTTCCCTGCTCCACCCTATTCCCAGTCATTGATACTCTATCACTTGCAAGGTAGTATCTAAATTCCTAAGAGGGCATCCTAACCCATTCACAAAATAGTACTTAACTGCTTGTCTAGATTTAGCTTTTAATGTTCCCTTGACATACACACATAAACATGGGAACACCTTTTTTTTTCCCTAAACATTTCCCTGAAGTTATTGTGCTATTTTAATATTCTGGGTCACTCTGTCCCTTCTGTCTAGACTTTAATTTGCCTTCTATGAATCAATCTTTAGCATCCTTCAACTTTCAATTGAAGAATTATTTCTCTAGTGAATATCTTTGCTAATATCCAGTGAGCATTAACTATATCTTTCCTTATGTGATTATCATATAATTGTGTCATTGTCTCTACCAATTTTCTCAACTGTAAAATACAGATAATAACAATGTGTGCTTTATAGGGTTATTCTAAGGATTAAAAGAGATAATATAGTAAAATTTTAATATAGTGCTAATATACAGTAATCAGGCATAATAATCTCAATTATTCATTGTATGATTATATTAAAGAATTTTGTACTCTTACATATTTTTTAGCCCACCTGTCTCTACTCTACTAGAATGTGAGCTTCTTTAGTTGGAGGTCACATCTTTTTCCTGCAGGGAGAGGTGCACTGCCTAGCATGGAGCAGACAATTTGCTAAATAGCTACTGAATGGAAGAAAAGTCTCACTATTTTTCTGATATTAACTCTAAATTTTTATGCTTAGTGATGAATAAATTTAATCTCATGGATTTATGAGATTGTTCTTGATTTAATTTATAGCTTTTCCCTCAATAGTAGTGGAAAGGAATCAGGGGAGGGAGGAATATGAATGTGTCAAAGTGAACCCCACTATTATGTATAACCATAATGTATAAATAAAAGCATGAAAAATCATCTTAGATTCATAGATAATAATCAATGCGAAATTCATGGCTTTTTATATTTTATCAAAAAGTGAATTTAATTCTTTATTAGATCCTCTTCTACTTTTCACGTATGGCAAAATAGGATACTTTTTGCTTACTCTTTAATCTTCATGTCAGAGTTGAAATCACACACACGCATACTACAGCGAAGCTGAAATGCAAATGCTTTTGCTTCTAGGATGTTATGATTCCTCTCCTCTGAGAAATCTTGCTCTTTTGTCACGTTTTTGAAAGAATAAATATTAACTCTTGAGAAAGATATAAACTAGTCATTTGAAATATCAATCTGAACAACTTCCAGTTATATTTGTAAACCTGTGACCACATTATACATTCATGATTTTTAAAAATGCCACAAACTTTGTTCTAAACCCAGTGAGATGCTTCATTAGGGAAGATCATGAAACTTGGCCCTGGCATGGCTGAAGAGAAAAGTGCCAGGTATATCGTATACTTCCAATGTGATTTCCAGAAATTCTATCCACATCAGTATGACACTTGCCAGTGTGGTTTGGTCTGTCCACAAATAAGAAAACCAATCTAGGGGACAGGTGGACTAGCAGAGAAGGTGGTTATAAACCCTTTCCAGTAGGCAGGTGGGCTGGCTATTTCTTTAGAGGAAGTCACTCAAGAGTGTCACCAGCCCATGAGTATGAATGACAGGTGTTGACTTCTTTGGAAAGTGGTCCTGTCAGAACTAGGCAGAACTTCAGGGATCTGAGGGACAGAGCTGGAGTAGGCTGGGGAACTGAGTGAGTACTCAGTCCTGCAGACGACACCACCAACATGGGGAGGCGTCCGCAGCAGGTTCATGATGGTGTCCCGGCTAGCTAAGGCAGGCTTCCCGTAGACCTGCAAGAAAGGTTCCAGCCCTGCTCAGGTTTTAACTCTGGACATGTTGAGAGCCACAGCCAAAGGGGCCCCAGCAAACTTCTAGCTGCCAGCAAACTTCCAGCTGCCGGCTGATGATTGGCTCACAGTGGCCCCAGCAACATCTAGCTGATTGGCTCCTCTGCTGTGATGTTCATTGGGCTGTTTCCCTGCCCTTCAGACTGCCA